CACCAGGAGTTCCATGTCCCTCTGGTACTGAGGAATCCATTAAAAAAAACTGATTTCCCAACCATGTGACCTGTGCAATTCTGGGCTGAGAAAAATGTAGCCTTTGAACCTATTAATCTGTCCAGTCTTCTGCCATGGACTGGGTTATTCACACTTCCTTGGTATCAATTTCTAGTAGGTACCATGGTAGTAGGATTTATTCAGGAATTATTAGCTTGATTGCTTCACAGAGTCCTTCAGGAATTATTAGCTTGATTGCTTCAAGAATTGCAGCAAGCCATATTCAGGTGTCTCAGTTTCATTTTCAAGGGATGGATTTGATGCTGAAGTACAATAAAAGCAGTGAGAAACAGCCTCTTGATAAAGGCAGTGAAACCTCTCCAGAGCTCACCATGGGCGCGTGGCTCTGTGTGGTGCCACCCTGCTGAGCCACACAGGTATCAGGTGCCAGGCTGAGGATGTGTGGGGGTGACTGTCCCTCACGTGGACCATGTGTCCATCCCCCTGATGTGCTCATCTTTGCAGTTGATCCCCAAACCAGAGCCTGAGATCTGCAGGTCCAACCTTTCCTCTGTGTCCTGGTGTGCACCTGCACTGTGCTGCCCACTCCCCTCCCTGTGGAGGTCAGCAACCAACACCTCTAGCATGCAAACTTTAAAAAAAAAGACTATTAAAACCCCTCAAGGTTGTAATGGAAAACATGGAGCTAAATGAAGGTTAGATTCTGGTTTATTGATTGGGACTTGCAAGGGTTTGCTCCTGCCTTTCCTCCAACAACCAGAGGGAGTTAGTGGGAATGGAAACTTCATGTAACTCCTCAAAGATTGCTTGCAGCTAGTCAGAGCTCTGGCATGTTCCAGCAACTGCTATAAAAGGATGTGTGCTTAATGGAGGAATGTTGCAGAGGGGAGATGGAAAAGGAAGCAACTTCTAGCGAGAGAAAGGAGAAAGGGGAGTCAAATGAAGTTCACCAGTTTGGGTGTTAAAACTCGAGCCGTGTTGTGCTTTATGACCCTGCTGGGAAGCAGGAGGGCTCTGGGGGGCTGTGACAGGAGGCTGTGGCCCTGCTGATGCTGTTGCTATGGCTTTGAACTGGGAGGGGAGAGTTGGGGTTTGGGAGCTGGGCTGGGAACTGGCTCCCATGCAGCATTAAAGGCATTTCTTTCTGGTATGATAACTTCAGCCAGAGTACAGCAGCACACGTAATCCTTGTGGCTACAGTGTTAATGGAGTTCTCTTTTTTAACCTCCTGGTCAAAGTCATTGGGAAAATAAAGTGATCCTGAAGATTTGCTTTGTGTTCTTGCAGAGTCCAATGCTTCTGGAAAGGTTTAATGCAAATTGCATTGCATATTTCAGGAGAATCTTTATTATTCATTTAAATTGTGTGATGGCTTAAAGGAAAAAAAAATAGTATAGGCTGTTTGGTTTTCCTTCTGTTTTCTGTATATTCCCTGAGACAAACTTGGTTTGTTTGTTGTTGGGTCTTTTTAATTATCGTAGACATAAAGAAAAAAAACTACTGAGAACGCCTGTATTCTGATTTTTCATATAATTAAGTCTTTCAGTTAACCAAGGCATTATAATGAGAATCCTATTCAAAGGAGTGTGCTACACTTGAAACAAATAGGGAGCAAATCTTCCTGCAAGCTTCTGTAGTCAGTCCCTTCAGAGGCTGCATGTGTGGAAACCTCAAAAGTAATTTATCTAACAGCAGCTTTCTGGTGATACTTGTGAACAAAACATAGTCTTTCTAATTGTTTCACAGCTGTTAATTAAAATTTAAAAAAAAGGATGCTTTGCAAAGCTACTTCAGCGCCTGATTTGCATAACTAGCTTAAATTTTAAAAGCTTAATCAAAAAATTGAATTATGTTTTGCTGCTGTCTGGCTCAGATTCCCAGAGCATGTTCTTTTGTGATGATTAAATGAATACATTAAATGGAGAAGACCAATATATATAAAGTTTTCCTGTATCTTGGAATATTAGTCATTCATTTTACATTTAAATATCTACATTCAGATTTATTTAGATTATAATTAAAATACTCCTCTGAGCTTCTTTTGAACATACATGTGTGCTTTTGCCTTTGCCAGGAGATAGGCAACTTTGCCTTTTGATCAGACAACCAACAGCCTGGAAGGAAAGAAAGAAATAAGAGTGTCAATAGGTCCTGCATTGCTAAGATTGTTCTTTTACATGTTCAATTTGGTCATGGACTGGAAGAACAAGAGTCAGATTTTTCTGTGGCCAATGACAGTTGCTGAAGGATAGTTGGGAGATGAACTGTGACTGCTTAAACATTAGTTCCCTGAAAGCACAAAAGTATTTAAAAACAAAAAATAAGGTCAAAACTGCTCAACCCAACAAAATACTCACCCGTCCCCTGACCCTAAACAACCTATGGGAATGTTAAAACTAGTCTTCAAACACGTACACATAACTGGCCTGGCTTGTTGTCATCATTCTCCTTCTCAATCTCCCTCTCCTGCTGCTCTTGTTTGGATATTAAGTCCTGATGTAACAGGTGATGAAATCACTGGGACAAGGGCCCTTCCCTGTGTCTAATATGGAAACATTACTGAGACTGCAGCATGTAAGTGCAGGAAGTTAATGACTTCATTCCTCATCATGTGCCTTTCTGCCATGGAAGATGACAGAGGCTTTAGGAGAAGTATACAAAACATGCAGCTGTAAGTTGTTCCTCCTGCCTGGCACCCAAAGCAACCGAAGAAAGTTTGAGATGGTTGTAGTAGAGGGGAAAAATAAATAACTGGTTCTCACTGCCCTTGCCAACTGCTGGAGGCATCTGGATAAATTTATGAATTGGCCTAATTTCTTGAGGTTCTTTGTGTTCTCCCTTCCCTGCTGGGAAAGGAAAGGAGGTCATTTCTGTCTGCAAGTGGCCTGAAAATGATTCTTCATTTGGCTGCTACCATGAGGATTCATTTGTGGCTCACCTCCCAGTCTGACCCACCTGTAGCTCTCACAATAAGACAAGATACATGGGCTAAGCAAGAGCACTGTGGCTGCCTTGCCTGGCTCGTTGAGAGTTTGCCTACCCACTAGTTGGGGTTGTTTCCCTGATAATTAATTTAATACCACATTTTTTTCATAGTTCTTTCTCTCTGCACACTCATATGCATGTTGAAATGAACTCTCCATGCAGACTTTCTCATGCAAACAGAAGCAGGGCTGCCCAAAACACAGCACCAAGGGCAAAGCCTGTAAGCTAAGCTCTATTTTGGGGGCTTTTTTTTTTCTGTCTGTAGGAAACAAATTTCCTTACATAAATCTTGATGTTCTAGTATTTTTTTTGTCATATACTCTGGGTCTGGGGCCAACATGTATACTTAGATACATACTCTAAATGCCAGATGTCAGCACATGCTGGGTAAGTGCTTAATAATCATGAAACCAAGAGCTCTTGGTCTATCCCAGTGGAAAGCAGCGTGATAAAGGAGCCTTCTGCAAACAAAGCTGAAGTGTGGGGGTTCCTCCAGGGAAAGGCAGAGGATATGGGAGTTAATCAAATTTGTCTTAAGTCTAAAGGAAGTCTTTTTATATTTTCAGTATGTCCTGACCTTTTCAATTGCTCGTTACAAAGGCTTTGCATGTCCACTGGGTGTCTCATTCCTGGCTCTGAACATGAGGAGCCTTTGGCTGTATGGGAGCACACACAGAGCTGTGTGATTTTGTAAACAATAGCTCCCTGCAATTCATTGACTGCTGCTAGAACAAAATAAACGTTAAAATCGAGAGTGAAAGAACCCAAGAGATGAGTTGGAGTTGTGTGCTGTGCTTTTAATCTGTGATGCTACTCTGAAATAGTTCTGCTATCAGTAAACATGTTTGTGTGTCTTTACATTAAGTGTGCCCTAGACTTTCTACAATTATAGTTAATAACAGGGACTGGATGTTGAGGGGTATCTCATGAAGCAGTTTCCCTTCTCTTTATCTATTTCTTGATGTGCCAGTGGATTTGAAAAGGACCTTCTTCGTTCAGGCTTCATTTTTGCTTGGCACTTCATTGTTTTTCTCCATTACTCCAGTTCTTTTGCTATACTTGAAGAATTTCCTAGGCTTCTGTTCAGAGCAGCCATTACCAGCTCTGCTTCACCTTCTAAAGAGATTTCTGCCAATAAAAAATTCAGTGGGAAGGTGCCACTACCTGAGGTAAGCAGCCCCTTGGGTGTTGTAGAACCCCAGGGATTTGCAAGCACACCCCAGGTCACAGACTTGATGCTTGCACAGGACTCTTTTCCTCCCCTAAGCTAAACCAATACCTTGCAATAGAAACAAAACAAAAAAACCCACTCATGTAAAGGATGAAGATCCTGGGTAAATATTTACCTTTGGGAAGAGGTGATGCAGCATTGCCACAGTTGTGTAATTGCATTTCTGTAGCTGTTACTACAGAAACTGCAGCATTTCCTGTAGCTATTATGATTAGAATGGCAGCGTGGTGAAGAATCAAGTCCTCTGTTTCAGTTCAGAGGCATTTTGGGCTTTGTTGACGTGGGAGGGTAGGAATCTGGACTTGGATTCAAGAGCTGGGTCTTGATTGACATTGGCTTTATCTCTAGCTTGACTCCAAATATACTGCTAATATTATGAGTGTTCAAGTTTATAGTCTGTTTCCATCCTTTCTCATTTTAGTCTTGCTTAGCAAGGAAGCATTTGCCAGGCTTGGAAAAAAAAAGAGAAGATGATACCCTCCTTGGGTCAGCAAAGGCCCTGGCTGCTTTAGAACAATTGTTGCATTCTTCTCTCCCACTTCTTTTCCTAGTATTTATTTTTAGCTCAATTACTTCCTTCTGGTTTTCTGTCGTTATGAAGGAAAAAATGGCTTAGCTTTGGAACCTGCAAGTTCCATCAAACTAGTGAAATCTACTGAAGAAGTTGTCTGTCAGTGGGTAGAACAAAACTCCTTAAGCTCATGTCCTCCAAAATGGAAGCAGCTATTTAAATTGTTCTTTTTTTTTTTTTTTTTCTTTCTAGAATGCTCCACGAGATTCAGAATTAGGCCAACCTCCTGGTAATGGGTACAAAATAAAAAGCAGCCCTCAGGAAAACAGCACAGAAAGACCTGGGGGTCAGGACATCTCAGATCCTCTTCCTGCTGCTGTGCCACTGGCTGAGAGCACATCCCCATCAATTCCAGGGCCTACAAGGTAAGAAATGAAGTTTCTTCCTGGGAATAGCATTGAAGCCCCGATGCTGTTGATAGCTGGGACCTGTGCATTATGTTTCTGTTGTTGTGTAACTGATTTTCAAAATCTATCACCCTGATGGATGATGATGATTATGATGATGATGCAGTCTTCAAACTAATCTGACACAACAAGACCACTTAATGTTTACCAAACTGACTTTCTTGCCTCACTGCATAACTATAAACAAGGCTCCAGCTGTTGTAGTAACCCTTGACCTAAACTTTCCATGCATTTTGCTTATACTAATAAACTCTCATCTGAGACAGAGAAACACTGAAGAGTTTTTTGTGGTTGTATTTGACTGAGAAATAAGATGTAATTGTAAACAACTGCAAAATGCTCAGCTCTGTATCATAATCCTCCTAAAAAGACCCAACCCAGCTAATATTCATTAGCACTGCACTCTTCTAAGTGTCTTAAAATTCACCTGAAAAATAGGACTCCTTGCAGAGCTCAGGTATTCTTCAGTCTATTCATGATGGCAGAAGGTGACATAGTCTGGATCTTCTTTAATATCCCAAAGAGAACATTTTGCCTGAAGCATTAATACTTTTTACTTGAATACCTGTATTTTCCCATGCTACTAGTGTTCTCAGCTGCTGCAATGAAGACATTATCTAATACCAACAGGATTTTAACAGGGGGCTGAGTACTTTCCAGTTCATCAATGTTACCTGAGTAGAACAGAATCATAGAATCCTGGGGAGGTGGTGGATTCACCATCCCTGGAGGTTTTCAAGCTGAGACTGGTGTGGCACTTAGTGCCATGGACTAGTAACCATGGTAGGGTTGGACTCGATGATCTTGGAGGTCTTTTCCAACCCGGTTGATTCTATGGTTCTATGATAGGTACCCTGAGTTGGAAGGGACTCACAGGGATCATTGGATGGAAAGATAAATTCAATTTAAAAGGAGTGGCAGTAACTTGCTGGTTTTAGGTTGTTGGCACATTTTGAAGTGTTCTCACAAATTTTCTTTAAGATTGGAGAATTCACTGCAGAAAGATTTGCTGCACTCTCCAAAGCAGAGTATCTGTAGATTGGACCTTTTTGTTTCCACTAACCCTGACGTTTCTGACTGACATTTCTTTGAAGGATATAAACTTGAGAAATGAAAAACAAGAACAAACAGTCAAGTACAATATTTCCCATGCTGTTAAAGCTATCCCAGGCAACAAACTCAACTTCTCCCATTGTTTATAAGAAATTATAATGATTAAGCATTTCTTTATGGAGAGGATGGTCAAACATTGGAAGATGCTTCCTAGAGAGGTAGTCAATGCCCCAAGCCTGACAGTGTTTAGAAGGCATTTGGACAATGCCCTTAATAATTTGCTTTAACTTTTGGTCAGCCTTGAAGGTGGATCACCTATCTCTCCCAATATTCTATTCTATTCTATTCTATTCTATTCTATTCTATTCTATTCTATTCTATTCTAAAATTATTGATATCATGCTGTAGTTTGTGGCAGTTTAAGTCCAAGTTCAAATATTAGGGAAGATCATCATTGACATTAGGGACATTTCAGGGAAGCTCAAGGACTTGACATAATCTAAAAAGACTTACCTGGAAACAGCAGCTTATTTTCTGGAAGGGACAGTTTGGCTGTGCTGTGGAGCTCTTACACTTCAGTAGGTGTTTGTACTTATGTACACACACAGAAAAGTATTTACTATTAACTCTATTTCTTCTAACTGCCACTAACACATCTTAATTATCTACTGAAAATAATAGTCTGAACCAGGTCAAGACTGCAAAGTCAATTTACAGTGGTAAAGGTATTTAGGCATGAAGTTTAAATGGTGAGAAGGTTGCACTTCTCTCCTAGAGATGCATAGCTATTTCTTTTGTAATCCAGCATTACTTTACTGTCTAGTACCAGGTCTATACATGAAAGGGCTTTTTCTTGGATGAGTTTCTCATGTCTTTGAGAGTCTCTCCATTTTCCTGTTGAATGAGGAAAGCCATAGATGTCATTCTCACTAGTTAGAAAAAATCAGTCTTGGAGTTATGATGTAAAAATTGGACAGGGTGAGATTTTCAGGTGTGTATTTGTTATTTCACTTAACAAATAGTACATGTATCATCTAGTTTGTAATTTCTCTTGATAGTAATGTGCACAATCACTATGTTGGATGTGTGTGTAATGGTAACCATGCTGTCCTACTGAAAAAAGCATACATTTCATGTATTTAGAACATGAAGGATTCTGATTTGAGACAGCAAAATAGTGGTTTTCTGCTGTTCTTATCAGTGTGCAGGTTATGGGAAGGGGGAAAAAGAGAGGAAATGCTGAGTATTGCTAACTGCAGATTTTCATAGGCCTCTCATGACTAACATTCCTGCAAACTGCAGTTGTTTGTGAAACTGCCCAATGACAGGTATGAGACTGTGTACCTAGAACTGCACCACCCATACACTGACTGACAGCACTTGTACCAGCATCCACCTGACACAGTGGAGACTCTTATCTTGGGCTTGGAATATTTGTGGTTTGGCTGCAGCGAGTGCAGTCTTTCTTTCTTTTTTTTTTTTTTTTAACATGAGCATAGTAATTTTATACTGTTCTGTAACTAATCTGCATGTTAAAAATAAGTGTTGCTCGAAAATTGCATAACTACAGTTGTTTAGGAGTTCCTTTGCAAAAATGTGAGTGCCTAAAACACTTGGACTTCCATTCCAGCTGGCTAAAACATCTTTACACTGCAGCAGGCAAAATTATGACTCGTGTGAGATGAGTGTTACATGGATGAGTCAGCTCAAAGGGGTTCAGAAGATTCTTGTTTCAGGAAACTTATTAGATGGGCAGGAGCTCTGGCAGTTGCTTGTTCCTTAGCCTTACTCCTGAACTGCTGGCACATGCCTGGTCTGGGTGGCTTCTAAGTGATATCCTGCCAAAATAGAAACAAAGACAATAAACGGAAGATCTTTGAAGTCCCAGATTCCTGTTTATTTTTAACTCACCCCTGCTTTGCACACATCTTTTCCACCCTGAAGTCTTAGTCTCAAGAGCGTGTGACCTGCTCTCTTCAGATGGAGAATCTCTGGGTGGAAAATTACCATGTTCGCTTTATTTCCAGTCTTCTGGGTCACTTTCTTCTCTCTTCCACAGATTCTCAGAGATTGTTTCAGTCACTTTTAAATTCTTGTCTTTTGGAATTCAAGATATCTGGGACCCTAACTTTGGAATAAGCTGTTTCAGTCCAATTGTTTTCACCTGTGTCTCGCTAGTTCTGTATGCTGAGAAGTAAGACCAACAGCAATTAATCAGTCAACCTTCCATGTGAAATAAAAAGTGCTGAAGGACTAGGATTTGAATAGATAGAATCAGGCTTTGCTTTGGTATCTGTGTGAGGTGTAACCATGGTGCACAACACACAGAGGAACATGCCTGGGGAATCCTTAGCTAGACAACTCTACCCCAGAGGCACTTCCAGCAGCTTTAGGAAGAAGCAGACACAGCAATTTGAAAGATACACCCCCAGAAGCAGTTCAGGGGAATAGTCACTCTTTGTGGATGAACTTGGCCTCTGTCCCACCTGGAGTGCTGCACACAGATCCTGTGGGACCCACAGAGCCACTGCAAAGGACAAGCTGAAGCTGCCACGCATCCTGTGGGATCACCCCTTCAGTGCTGTTTCCTGCTGCCTGTCTGGATATCTCAGATGGAGACCAGGAGCCAGTCCTGGAACTGGAACTGAAGCTCTGGCCATGCTTGCTTGCTGCAGCAGAAGTACAGCTTACTTTTTAAATGTTAGAATAATTTAGTTTGGTCATGCTTGAAATGGTGCATGGCCTGTGTTTTATTCTGTGTCTGGAACAAGGAGGTGAAAAGTGATTGGGGGTGGGGGAGAAGGGGAAGACACAGGTCCCGGGAGGATCATATAGATCATTATTCCTGCCTCACTTTTTCCTGAAAGCTTAGATGCAGAGGGAGGGTGGGGGAGGCTGGCTGCTGTTCACAGCCCTTTAGTGATGATGGATTTCTCATGTGTTTGTTTACCCTGAAAGTTCCAATGGTGATTTGCTTGGCCTCCAAATCTCTGACCTTCTTTGTTTTTCAGAGGGAAGGTGGAATTTAATTCCATGTTCCTAATTCACTTTCAATACCTCTTAGGGACAGATTAAAATGCTGAATTCCTTAAGTTAACTCAAATCCTCCAGTACACTCTGTCCAAATGTGTAAACTCAAGCTGCAGACAGTGATCTGTCACGTGTCAGAGGAAAGGGAACAGAAACACTTGAGAGGCAGCTATACGTGTGCTGTGGTTGCAGAGCTGGCTGTGCATTTGTTCCCTTCAGTGCTTTCTGAATTCATCCTCGGATTTCAGGCTCATGCTCCCGGGAATATAATCACTCAGGCTCTGAGTTACATCAGTGTGGATGGCAACCGTATGTGACCTCTGGGATTCAGAGGCTTCGGCACTTGCTGTTTTTCCCTCACAAGCATGAGTGGGTTGGGAAGGCTGCCTGTTCTTTCAACAACTACTGCATGGTTAAGAAGGAAAGCCAAGGAATAAGAAATGGAAATTTGAAATTATCGACAATTTTCTGTTGTTGTATCTTCATTTCTTGTTGTTTATCAAGTACATTGAACAGATTTGGGCATCTCCTAACCCCCATCCCTCCACACACACTCCCCCTCAGATAGTAAATGCTAAATGCCAGAGAACATTAGTCTAACTGCAGCTGGTTTTATCTTTTGGCCCCTTGCCTTTGCCATGGATGACAAAACAGAGTAGTGCAAGCTGTGACCAAGTGTTAATGGCAGCTGGATTGGGTCTGGCTCTTCATCTGGAAGTTTTTATGGGATATGCACCATAAGTCATCGATTTCTTAACATCCTTTACAGCTTCACACCCTAAACACAGACCAGGCAGTGCTCTCCTAATAAACATCTTAGTAACTGGGCAGGACTCTTAAATTGTTCCAGGATAATTCAGACTTGCCACAACATCTTCTGATGGTGGAAGAGGTTAACTATAGGTATTAAAAATTAATCAGTAAATTTGCAGCGTGCTTCCAAACAAGAAATTTCTCAGCAATTATTTATGCAAAACAAACATTTTAGGCATGTAAGGATTTAGCTCATTATTATTTGATGTTGTAACTGCAAGTATAGCATTCATATGGTCACTATGTTAGAGCCTTGGAATTGCAAATCCTTGGCAGTTTGCTTAGCTTCTAAGATGGGGAAAGGTTCCCTTTGATAGTTCTTGAGTGCAGTGGGACACATTTCAGGTTACAGATGCACCTAGGTCTTCGCATGAATGCATTTTCTTCTTTTTTTGTAACAAAACAATCAATCACATGCAGCACTTACTCATAGCAAAATGACTCTGCACACAGTTCTGGTGTTCTCAGTGTAAGAAGGACATGGAACTATTGGAGCAAGTCCAGAGGAGCCTACAAAGTTGATGAGACGACTGGAGCATCTTCCCTATGAGGACAGGCTGAGGGACTTGGGGCTGTTCAGCCTGGAGAAGAGAAGACTGTGTGGAGACCTCATAGCAACTTTCCAATATCTGAAGGGTCTACAAAGAGCCAGAGAGGGACTCTGTTAGGAACTGCAGTGATAGGACAAGGGGGAATGGGTTCAAACTGAAGGAGGGAAAGTCTAGGTTGGACGTGAGAAAAAAGTTTTTTACTCTTAAGGGTGGCGAGACACTGGCCCAGGCTGCCCAGGGAGGCTGTGGCTGCCAGCAGTGTTCAAGGCCAGGCTGGATGAGCCTTGAGCAACCTGATCTAGTGAGGAGGTGTCCCTGCCCAGGGCAGGGGGTTGGGACTAGATGATCTGTAAGGTCCATTCCAACCCCTAAATTCTATGATTCTATGATTGATTCTTTCTGCCCTAAACTGCACATGAACTATGAAGAGCTTCGTCATTTGCATGTTTTGTTTTAAATATGAATCATTTTTTCCCCTTAATAGTATTGAGCTAGATCAGATTACAAACAAAAGAGATCTAGTACCCACAAAAGAAAAACATGTTTTATTTTCCTGTGTTTAAATTTTCAGGTCATAGTTTTATGTTGATTGTATTAAACGATTTGTCTGAAACTACATGTTCCCTGCAGGTAATTATTGATTAATGTAGATTGGGTTTTACTCAGGGGAATTATCTGCAGCATGTGGTGTAATTTCCCTGTAGTGCTATTCCCTTTAAAAAGAGTGGAAGATAATGGGACTAGGTGTGACCTTAAGAGGTCATCTAGTCCATCCTTCTGCCCTAAAGCAGGATCAACGGTGCTTAAGGCATTCCCAACAGATGTTTGTCTAACCCCAGCATGTCTTGCAGACAGAAAAGCAGGATTGCAAAAAATGAAAAGGAAGATGCAGGATATGTTCCCTATATAGTTTTCCTTGTTATTACATCAGAAGGACAAACATAAACAGAAATATCCAAACAGGTCAGTCTGGGTATATCCTATTATGATTGAAAAATCAAACCTTTCAACGCTGTGTTATGTCCTGAATAAAACATTGAAGCAAGCTGCAGTAGCAGAGATGATGAATGTGTACTGCTTCACTCTAAAAGTGATAGTTTAACTTGCTGTCACAGCCTGTGCCAGCACTGTCATTTTAATTCTGTTCAGCATACATTAATTACAAACTTGTCCCAATTCCTTCATCTACTCCTGAGTAAAATGCACAAGTTTTCAGCATCACTGAATACCAGAAAAATTGTTCTAGTTGATCCATAATGCTGAATAGCTTAGCTCCTAGGATTGTCATCTGCTCTTGAACCTGCTACGTCACAGGTTCACTACTCTGGCTCTTGACAAAGTTGTTACTAACATGTCAGTATATAGTTCATGTGTTTAGCAATTGTATTTAAGAAAATTTAACCACTTCAGACATGTTTCACCATCCCTGGAGGTTTTCAAGACGAGACTGGATGTGGCACTTAGTGCCATGGTCTAGTAATGACTGTAGGGTTGGACTTGATGATCTTGGAGGTCTTTTCCTACCCGGCTGATTCTATGATTCTATGATTGTATGAAACTGTTTCATGTTTGATAGGTGCAAGTAGGAGTCTAATGTAACAAAGCAATCACATCTGTAAAGGTCTTAGAGAAATTTCAGCCAGATGAAGTCTGTGAAATGCAAATATATGATGATGAATGGTCTGTATGGTGAACATTACCAACATTTGCCTCCCAGATTTATTACTGTGTGTTTTCCAACTCTGCTGACGGAAGGGATTAAGGATAAGAATCAGAGATTAAAGATAAATGATAAGGAGAATTATTAACTGGAGATTATGCTTTCTACTTTTCCCACTACTCAGTTTCACAGAGGTTAAAGGGCTGAACCTCCACCTGTTTGTGTTCTCCTGACCACCATCTGACAGGAGCATACTTCCAGGGTGAAGAACCCTGGGCACAAAACTGCTAATGAGCAATTTAATCAGTAAGAAGACAAACCTGCAACACGAGCAAAAATCTGGAATGGCAATTGACTCCCACTTTTCCACCCCTCCCCAATTCAGTGTTGTGCTTTCTGTCCCTCCTCTTCTAATTAAGCCTCCCTGAGTGCAAAATTAATGTCAATAATCAAGTGTGTTCCTTCTTTAGGGAAAGCCTCTTGGCATCTCTCTGTTGTTTGTTCGTCATGTCCTGCTCCATATTCTCAGTAATCCAGCAGATACCAAATATTCCATTGGCATCTCTGTTATTCCCAGTGTTAGGAAGTTTTATATGGATAGGTGTTTTCAGTGTGCTAAAAAAAAAATCTGGGCAAATTCCTGAAAGTTTAAATAAAATATATTGGTGTTATAAATTAAATGTTCAAGCTGATGCCAAACATCACTGAAACTTGTTGAAGCTGTATATGTTATTGATATTTTACCTTAGATTTGAGGCTTGGCCTTGATATAGGCAAATTTCAATGGCTCTTTAAAGACTAGTTTATTTTCCACTGCAATGAGTCTGAAGAAGTTTTCTAGGACATAAGTAAATAAAATATATTGGTGTTATAAATTAAATGTTCAAGCTGATGCCAAACATCACTGAAACTTGTTGAAGCTGTATATGTTATTGATATTTTACCTTAGATTTGAGGCTTGGCCTTGATATAGGCAAATTTCAATGGCTCTTTAAAGACTAGTTTATTTTCCACTGCAATGAGTCTGAAGAAGTTTTCTAGGACATAAGACTGACTCATGTTCAGCTTTGGGTGTAGTCTTCTCCTAAAGAAATAGTTAGCTGGGCAGTCCTCAGTATATGGAGAGGTTTGGCCCCACCTGGAAGTGCATTTTGTGCATGGTAGCACAGCCCAAAAGGTTGTGTTTGTATAAACACAGTCCTAAACTGCAGGGACCCAAGAGCTTGTCACTGACTCACTTTGTCAAGCATTTTGTGTGTAAAACTTGGGCAGAGAGGGGAGGGAGACTTCTCAGATTTCTGGGTATTACTTAAAATCCCATCTATGCTTGGCCTTACAAAGGTGTTTTAAGCATCTTTTACAGCTCCAATCTATAGGGGACTTGGAAATGTAACCTGTTACTGCTAAGCTGTGGCAAAGCTGCAGTGAAGGGCTCACTGTGAGCCACCTCTCCTTGTATAGCTGTGCAATGAGAGCTCATTGTCACCACACTGACCTCCTAGCATTTCACAATGTGCTACCAGTGTATATTGCTTTGGATGGGATTTATTATTTCACGTTAAGTAAACGTTGCCCCTTGCTCCTAGGTACATTTCTACATTCAGTTTTGAACTGATATTTCACTCCATAATCCTTAAAGTGATGAAACTATGCCCAGGCATCAAAGGTGAGGGAGAGAACAAGGTTAACCTATTTCATCCCCTACAAACCTCACTGTGGAAACTGAGGTCCACACAGTGAACATGAGAAATAATTTCTCACAGCTAGTCATCTCCGTTTCCATTTTTTCTACCTTATCTGTAGTGGGTGGGGAGAGAGATCATATAAAGGGTTACAGCTTACACATACTGAAATCAAACCCTGTGATAAAATGACCTCATAGGGTGTGTATCATGGTAGAGCAGCATCCTGCACTTGGCAGGGTGAGACCTTTGACCTTTGGGTGAGAATCAACTGCACTGATTAGTTGGAGAAAACATCCAACAGATGGGCCCTTCTTAATCTGCTGCTACACACTACAGCACAGCCAGATAACAGCAGTTCCTGTGGATTGCACAGCCTTTAGCTTTGAGCAGAGTAGTCGCATAGAAGCAGAAACAAAAAGCCTTTCTTTGAGGTACTGGGGTTTTCCCAGTATTTTTAGCACTTTTTCCCATGTTGTTGCTGTAGACTGTGAGATGTGTGTCCCCTCTCCCCACACTTACGTAAGGCTTTGGAATGGTTGAAACACATGCTGTGAGCACAGTGGCTCTCAGGTGAGACTAGGGACATGGTTTCCAGAGTAATGAGCATTTAAATCACTGTGTCGGGTGGTTTAACTCCTGAAAGCAGATTATCAGCTTCTCAGTGCATGCACTGCATGGCTTTGAAATATCACTGGCACAAACTGGTTTTATCCTTTGCTTCATTTACTTCATATTCTTTTCTTCTTTATTGACATGAAACAAATAAACGTTTCCATTGTTGGCAGCGTCAGTAATGAAGGCATCAGTAGCTACAGTGCTGAAGAGCTATCCAGCCCAAATTCAAGCACGGTGACAGGACAGAGCACTACCTTGGAAGAGCAAGGAGGACAGACAGACTCTTATTTCTTACAGCACTCTGCTGAAGCAAGAGAGAGCAGCCTGCCTATCTCAGTGCCCTTGGCACACAGTGCCCAAGAACATATCACAGATCTTACAAGCAGCAATGACAACTTACCCACCTCAGACTGCAACAAAGCAGTGCCATCACCAGGTGCAGTGAATGACAAACAGGAAATAGCACATGCTGAATTTGTGGACAGAAGCCCAAAATGTGACAATATTGCAGCCACATCTGTGAAAAACAAGCCCAGAATCCCAAGCCTGGAGCACAGCCCTCCTGCAGCAATCAGAGAGATGCAAGGAGTCACACAAATGAGCTGGAGTGAATTGGGATCTCTCTGTCAGAGTGAACAGCTGGGTGGCATGAGGGAACCACATGTCAGCATGTTTCCCCGGGGTGAAGCAGCAGGAGATTATTTTACTGCTCAGGAGGCCGAGCAGGAGCGAGGAGTTTTGGAAGTAGGTCAGCTGCAGGCAGTAATGCAGCAAGGTAGACAGAACACAGATGGTGGAGAGGGTCTGCTAATGAAAAAGGAAACCTTAATCCTAAATTATCCAGCAACAGGAGGCTCAGACAGTGAGAAATTTGGAGCAATTGTGAATACTCAGGACTTCACTGAGATCAGTGAAGTCTGTAATCTACAGATGGGGGCTGAAACAACAGTTAAGGGGAATGAGGCAAATCCAGCTCTATCTGGAAGCAAAAGGAAGCAATCAGAAGCCTGTACTTTAATGTCAGAGTTGCCTTCTAACCCTCCAAATCTCTTCCTGGCACCAAAGCCTGAAGAGCCTTCGAGGGAATATGTGCCTGGAAATGATTCTCAGGATCCGGTGAGGAGTGAAGCAGTGAAAACAGCCTCTGAAAAAAACAAACCCATTTTTCAAAGAGAGCTTCAAAAGGCGTATGAGCTTGTTAGTGCCGAGCATTTCAGTGTGCCTTTATCATTTAAGCGAGAGGAAGAAGAAAAATCAGCTGTCATATCTGAAAGCCCAAAAGATGAAGCCAGTAGCAATGAAATTATAAAAGCTGATGATGTGTCTAGAGAAAGCACTGCACTCTCTGAAACAGAAAGCATTATCAGTCCCACCAAGGAAAATTCTCTGGGAGATAAAAGATTATTACTGGAAGAATATGCATTAAGTACCTCTTTGAGCAGATCCACAGAGCTGTATCAAAAAGAAATGGAGGTGGGTGTAACAGGAGAAACAAATGGAATCCGCACAGAGGAGACACAAGTGCCAGAAACCAGTGAATTACCTGAGGGCTCGAGTGGGGCAGAAAGACAACTATTGAGCTCTGTTCATAGCCACCACCAGGACACGGAAAACACTCACTTGAAACACAATCCTGAAGAATTCAGTCTGTGTGAAAACACTTCAACAGGTGACCTAGAAGGTGGGGGAAAGCCTCTCAATTTAGACAGTAACTTTATATCACCTGAAGACAATTCACAGCCTCTTGTTTGTAAACCTGAACAGCAAATGTGTAAAGAGAAAACTGCTGCCACAGATGACCTGAAGAACAAACTCGTGGCTTCAGCACAGTTTGCAAGGGAGGAATGCCCACGGAGTTTTGATGGCTTTGACACTGAGGCAGAAGGCAAAACTTCAGGCCAGACAGGCTGTAAGGAGACTGAAAAGGTTTGTTTAGCTGGTGCACACAGTTCACTGCTCCTCCGCCCTGGGAACAATAATATTAAGCAGAGTAAGCAGGATGAGTCCTGGGAAAAGGCTAGAGAAACTGTGTTGGAATCTGAATGCAAAGCTGAGAGTCAAGAAAAGCCTGAGAGCTCTAGCAAGTCAGGAGAAAGTGCAAAAATGCCCAAATTAAAACGTGATCTCCAGGGCTTAAATGAGTTGGCAGAGACTATGGGTCCCATGGCTGTACAAACCACAGAGGCCTCACAGGTTTCAGAAGCCAAAGAACAGAACAGTCACATCGCTCAAGTGCCTCACAGCGATCCAGAGCAGGAACCTGCAGCTGCACAAAACAGTGCTGTGGATGGAAAAGAAAGCAAGTGTGTTCAACAAGAGAAGAACCAAACTGTGGTAAAAAGTTCTGTGGAGGACAAAGATTTGGCACTGAAAAGTGAATGCAAATCAAATGTGCCAATGGAAGCTCAGCTGGAGCAAGTGGCTGCAGAAAGTCACAGAAATACACAGGTGGCTTGTTCAGAAACTCCCCAGGCTGCAGCTGGTACTTCAGGACATACTCCTCAGCAAGTTCATGTGGAGGGAGGGGGTGACAGCCACATCACTGCAAACAACTGCCCCTCTGAGAGTGACACGTGCAGCTCTTTGGTGGCCCTGGAGTGCAGCATCAGAGAACTGCAGGATGTTCCAACTGCTGTTCCCCAAGCAGAGCAAACGGAGAAGTTGGTGCCTGTTGCTGGTGACAGTGGCTGGAGTTCAAACACAGGACTTGAACAACATAAGCACCAAAGCAGTCTGACAGCTGTCACAAGAGCAGATGATCAGGAACACAAAGAAAGGGCACTGAAACCTGAACAGCCATTGGACCTCAATAATCACAGCAACATACCACAAATACCTCCGAACATTTCAAACAACCTTAATAAAGAATCTTCTGTGCGAGCTCCAGCACCTCTCTGCTGTGGCTCTGCCATGGCAAAAGAGCAGGCCCAGGCTCACCGCAGTGCCCTGGGGTCAGAGGATGTGTGCAGCAGAGAGCACAGGCAAAACGTTTCTAGTGTGACCATGCTTAATTTGCAAGATTGCAATGAGCAAAACAAAACTGATCTCAAGGCAGAAGAAAACTGCTGCAGTAAGCAAAACTCAAACAAGCCCAAGCAGGGTAATAATTCTTTGATCTCAGCTAGTCAGCATGAAGCAGCATGTCAGAGTGATACGTTTTGTAAGGAATCTGACAAGAATGAGCAGCCAGGCAGCGTTTGCAGGACAGAGGGTAATGCTGGTGAAAGCTGTGCTGCTGCTATAAACACTCTCCCAGGGACACAGGATTCAGCAAGTGCCACTAACATATCACAGGCTTTGCCAAGCGATACGGAAATAGCACACACTTCTGATAATTCTGAGAAAAATGAGCCTCAAATACCTCGTCCAGAAACTCAAAGGAAAATGCCATTAATGGCAAAATACTCAGAAAATATCCTGACTGCTGATGGGGGAATCATCCAGAAAGATGAAAACACAGATATGTTTTGTGAAGACAGTGCTGCTGTCACAGAAACAAGCAATATGAAGCCTGACAAAAGTCCAGGAGCACAAGGATCTCCTTCACCATTGCAGGCACACAAGGAAGTAATTCCCACTGATAAGTCATATAAATCCATCTGCATTCAAAACACAACAGAGCAGCCTGGTTATTGTCAAGCAGAATTTACAGCCCTCTCTACCCAGACCTCTGCACTCAGCCATCCTTGCCAGCAACCTGGAAACAGTATGGACAAGGGTACTGGGGGGGAATCACTAAATAATGAGCTGGAAGTTGTAGCATGCCAAAATGCCTTAGAAGGTAGCTCTAATTTGCAGGTTCCTGCAGGGCCTCAGGTGTCAGTGCACTTAGGTCCTTCATCTGGGATAAACACAGGTAAAACAGCATATTCAGAAAACAGTTCTGCAGGGGATATATGTGTGAGTGAACGAGATTGTCCAGACCAAAGTTTTCAGGGTGATGGAGACAGAAGTTTCACCCTGACAGAGACTTTAAATGTAGGGCAGAGTGCTGGAAACTTATCACTGTTCAATTCTGAGAAACTGAAGAAAGAGATCTCTGCAATTAAATCCAAAAACCCAAAAAGTGAGCCAAACTTCAAAGAACAGCAAAGTGACAGTTCAGCAGAGTCTCTGTTAGCTCTCCCTACTCCAGAAGGGAAGATGCTGAGCCTTTCATCATCACAAGAAGGCTGTAATGAGGAAATTGCAACAAATATCTGCGTAGATGACAAGTACGGTAAGATCTTAGAGAAATCTGGGAAATCAGAAAAAATGGAAAAGCTTTCAAAAGAGAATAATAACATAACCAGGGCAGACATCACTATTTCCGAGCAGTCTGCAGAGAACTCTGGAAGGGAGCATGAGGCTCTGAGTTGCAGCTCTCTGGACATTGGCTCCACCATCCCAGACTTTAGGGAACACATCAGCCAGATATTTAAAAAAACTCTGCACAGCACACTGAGTGCTGAATTACCCCAACTTTTGTCTGAAAACCATGCAGGCTTCAAGCAGAGTCCAGTGGCCAAGGATACAGCAGAACTGTGTGGTGCTGAGAACTTTTCAGAACCAAACAAGGCCAGCAAAGGAGTTCCTGAGGGCACCTCGGAGACAGAGGGGCAAGAGTTATCTTTAGCTACTGAGGCTTCCTGCAAAGCTGCCAAAGGCAAATCTCTGCAACAAGAAAACACTGTGGCAGAGCTGCCACCAGCAAGTCTGCAGGACACTGAGGAAAGCAGGCAGCCCGGTAGGTGTTTAGAAGTGGTCCCTAGCTTGGATGGCGTTACACCTGCTGAATGTGCTCCGGAAAATCTGCAAAAACCAGACAAACCCTCTGAGCAGGCAGAGAGCAGTGAGATGGAAAGAGAGGGAGGCGTGTGTGCTGGTCGCGTTGATCCTGACTCGCTAATAAGCTTAGGGATAAAGAAGCAAGGACCAGCTTCATTTGATGGGGCAGCAGCTGAGAACTTCCCTGCGTATTCCGACAGTCAGCGACAACGCGCCGGAGCTGTTATCTCTGCGGGCGATGCACAGAAGAAAGATGTAAAAGATGCTGCTGCCACAGAGGGAAACAACTTAATTACAGAGTGTAATGCAGAACCAGTTTCATCTGAAGAGGATGTAACTCTTCCTACTGGACGGTGCCAGGATCCTAAGCCAAATGAACAGGAGAAAAGTGAGTACGGTGATCCAGACTTTGCCAAGAGCATCTCTGACATGGCAGCTTCAACACTTGTCCCAGGAGGATCTTACAATCATGAGAAATTGCCAGACAATTTTAATGTGTCACCTGGGGAAAATCAGGAGGCACACATTTGCAGCAATTTCATGCATGACATTAAGTCTCAGGATGACATGCAGATGATACAGGATGATACAGTAAATAGGAAATGCTTGGAAACGTCGGCAAATTCACAAGACGCAGAGCAAGAAGAGAAAGTGCCCCTGCATGGGTTAATAGATTACTTCAAAAATGAAGTAAGCCAGGATGATTGCTTGCAAACTGACTTGAAACTAGAATCTAGCAGTATGACTGAGGGGGGTGTAAAAGAGAACAGTGACACAATATTAAGCACAGCAAAGACAGGTAATGAAAAACATGGAGACATCCCTGAAACAGGTACTGCAAGGATGTTAGTCACTGGTGAAGGTGACTTAGCTATAAACACGAGCATAGAAGAGCAGGAGGCAGAGCTGTGCAAAAATCCCTCTCCAGCCCTCCCTGTGATGGAGCAGGGTGCAAATTGTGCACGTGCAGTTCTCACTGGTGCTGAAAATCAGCCGAGCAAGATGCATTCAGAACCTGAGAGCTCACTTCGGGATGCCAAAGGAAAACTATCACCACTTGCATTAACCAAGCCTAAGAACCTTGACCTCAGTGAACTTCAGGACGTGGCTGTGGCAGGATTACTTACTGAAAGGTATTTACTTTGAATTACTATGTGAAGTGGCTGTCAGGACCCTGGGGCTGGATAGGGGTACAATTTTCAAGGCAGACACCCGTTGTCTGGGTGGTTTGGGAGGGAATGTTCTTAAATGCAACTTAAATATATGTTGCTTTTAAATGTGGACTGTGTGGAAAAAAAATAATATGTAAGGACAAAGAGATCCTAAAAGCTGAGAAGGATAGTTCTTACCTGTTCCATCTGCTGGTCCAGATTCCTGCCTTACCTGTGGATTTGCTTATGCTTCCCAGTGTTCACACCTCATAGCCTAAAGTTAGGCAGACAGATAGCCCTTCCTAGCCTTAAGGTAGCAGACTTTTGCCTAAGTTTTGGTGACCCAGTTAAATGAGACCCACGGCATTCACATGGTGGAGTGCAGTGTTTAAAAACAAGCCTAAAGAGTAACCCAGTTACTCACACTGTTACTTGTCTGGGCCTCCCTCTTATCCTCCCGTACAATACAATTGCATTGACAGTGCCTTTGATCACTGTGTTATTCAGTGTTTCTAGTGACATGGAGTTGTTTCAGATGTGAATTCTTCTGAGCTGGGACTTGTGGAGCCTCAGAGTTGTTTAGGGTTTTTTTTTCTATTTGTTTTCCAAATCTAGCAGTAACTGCTTTAATTAAGTTAAGACTCTTTTGTTGTTGTTATTGTTGTTTTTATGAGTTTCTACTTTGCTGTCAGAATCCCTAGTTTGATGTGCAGTTAACTTAGTATAATTATGATCTTAGAACAGGTGCTTTCCCTTTATCTAATCATGTCATGCTTCCTCTGTAACCTCAGCAACTTCCTTGCACACTGTCCCTCTCCTTCCCACACCAGAGGAGACAGCAAGAGCTGTAACTGCTGAGACAGAACAGGATTGTACAGTGAAAAGCTAAACTCTATCAGACAACATCAATGAATGGTCTGCCTAGGTGGAATTTTCTAAGTATCCCCAAAAACTTAGATAATACCCAGTGAATAAGGAGGGAAAATGTTTCAGTGCCACATGCCTTAAAGGTTAAGATGCTAAAACTGAAAATACCTGGAGCATTTCTGTTGTTGTGAAAATGTGGGGGAGTTCCTCCTGCTGTGTGTGAGTCTGGGGGGGAGGCTGAATGTGATCTAATTGCGTGAGCAGAATTTACATTAGAAGTGTTGGAAATCTGGGCAGCTATATGACTTTAAGGATCTGTCAATAAAGCAACAAGGAAATTAGCTCCTGATACTTCCCTCTAGTTCCTTTCCTTTGTGTTTCCCTGTATACTATGGGAACTTCACAGTGGGTAGCTTTAAAATTCCCCAAAAATTGCTGGCATGGGCTGGCTCAGAAGCCATAAAGGACTAGGGGCAGTGCATGCATTTGTCTGTGCATGTGTTTCATATCAGGGCGGGTATAGCTCTGTAAATAAATACCTGCGGCGAGCAGGGCAGGGTTCTTGAAACAGCTGCTGACAATTCATGGAGTAGTTGCTTAATGCTTGCATATGCTTCAAGGATTCATTATCACCTGTTTTTCCAGCGTGAGGGTTTGTATCAGCAGGCAGCTGCTGCTTTTGGGTTGTCTGCAAGTGGTGTCACACCCCCTGAGTGTGCACACTCAGGCAGGGGATGCTGCTGCAGAGCTTGGTGGTGTTGGAGGCTGAACACCAGGGACTCTCACAGGTACAGAGGAGCCTCTGCTTCTGATCAGGCTTGTTTCTTAGAGCAATATGTATTTATAATACAAAAGAACAGCAGAAAGCATTGGTTGAGCTGGCTGGGCTGTCTGCTGTTGACCAGTTTACTCTTCCTCTGAGATTAAAGCTGCTTGTGTGTCAGTGAATATATGCTGCTGTTGAGGAATGCTGTATTCCATACCCTGTGTGTGCTGGTCACAATGCTTGCTCTGCAGAGTGGTTTGTAGTGGTTTATTGCCCTGTAATCCTTACAGGAGATAAACTACTACAGCCATGCAAAATAAGGTGCACATTTCAGCTGACTGTGGGGATTTGGGCCTGATGGAAAGAATTCCAGGGAGGAAGACTCCTTCCCAGCCTTCTGAATAAACAGCAGGAAGAGGTAGATACATTTAGAAGGAAATGGTCCTGAGAACCATTCAGAAGCTTCTTTTTGAGAGGGAGAAAGTTCTGAATGATTTCAAAATTGTTTTCTTCCCCCTCCACTGCTTCTGTATAGCTCCATCTCTTACAAGATCCCTTATGCTGAAACCCCACTGAACTGTGGGTGAGGAGGCAAAGTGGTGTAATCTGACTCTTAAATCCTTGTTAGGATTTCTTCCTGTAGAGGAAATAGAGGAATTTCTTCCCATGGTGGCTATGCACTGGAAGGAGGGTGGTCTTGAGATGAACAGATGAGATCATGGAAGGGTTGGATTTTGGCAATCCTGTCTGTCAGCACTGAAAAGGAGTTAAAAAAACTTTTTCTGATGGTTTTGATGTTTTTAATTCTGTCTATTGAGTCTGTGACTAAAAACCTGTGTTCCTGATGGCCACATTTAGGCATCAAAATGTCATTCTTCTCACTCTACCATTGGGCATCCAGCTGCTTCATTTTGCTGTCTGAGTTTTACTTGGGAAGGAAGATCAGGACTTGAGTTGTTCAGGGGTTTTTCTCCCTTTGCAATGGATCCCCACACATCTGTAATGTAACCCACACATCTGTAATGTAATCCATACATCTTCTTTCTTTTATGGAGGGAGAATGGAAGTTCCTGTATATACAGGGAGTCCTTATGCCCCTGAAATGCTCCTGTTTGCATTATGGGCCATAACAGATGTTGAGCAGAGCATGGAACAAAACTGGAAACGATGGCAAAGTTTTAGGGGTGTTTGAAGGTGGCATGGAACTTTTGGTCACTTCCTGTAATTCAGCTGGTTGCTAAATGCAAACTGACATTGTCCCTTGGAAAAAGTACTGAGGGAGCTTTTTGAAGTGGAGACTGTGAAGTCATTCCCAGATGTGCATCTGTAAGGTACAGAGAACACATGGCATCCTTTGCTGGTTTGTTGGTTTGGCAAAATGCTCAGCTTGTTAACAGGCCTTTGGGTGTTGCAGCCTTGCAGGGATGCTCAGCTGGGGCTGGGTGTGCAGGGAGGGAAAAGCACAAGGAGCTGTAAGCACACTGCAAGTGTTGACACCCATGTTGTTAGAGAATGGAGAGTTTTACTGCATTGACTCAGATCTCTTGTAAATCTAAACAATATTCTTATATGGGAAGTATCTTGCACCAGTTGGTGTCAGCAAAGCTACTTGAAAAACATCCTTTATGTCTTATGCATTGGTCAGACAACATCTCTAAAGTTGGTCCAGATATACTCTTGGATTTGCTTCATGCTTTGTTCTTGCCATCAAAAATTGGCAACTTCACTAAGTCCAAAAAGAATGTTCACTCCTTAGTAAATACTGACTTGGTCTCTTTTGTCTGCAGAGCAAATACAGTATTAAATATTTTAACAGCCTTGCTGGATGAGGTATGGAATGTAGAACTGCTTTTCAGATCAGTCAAGTGGGTTTTGAGCACTAAGGCTTTGTGTCGTTAGCATCTGAAAACAAGAGTCTGGAGCCAAAAGGAAACTTGTCAAAACAGTGATTATGCAGCTCTTTATTTCCTTCTTTCTTAACTTCAAAACTGATTCAGGTGTGCAGCATTTCAGGACCACAAAAGAAAGGGAAAATAGGAGGTGATTTGCACATAAATAAAATGCACAAAATGTATTGGGTTATTTGTCTCTTCTGCCCTTCTCCCTTTGCATTTGAATTCTTTCTCTTTGCTTTCCTCCCATCCTACTCTCACTGTTATCCTCAGCAGGTGCAGCTGGTAGTACAGTTGTGCTTTTGGAGATGGAAGCAGCTCAGCCTGCAGTCCTGAACTGAATTAACTGCACAGGGAGTTCTGGGGGAATTTCTTCTGTGTGAAGTCTGAGATATTTAATTTTGGTATTTTTCTATTCACAGAAGAGTAAAGTAAGATAACTTTGCTCTTACCCAACAGGCATCTCCCACTGCTTTCTAGGAAGTGAAAAGGATTTTTGCCAACTACTCTAATGGATTCCATTGGCTGAACTGACTGCTGGTTTAGGCAGAATCTAAGTACTTATAAAACCCATAATTTATACAATGCTCATTTGGTAGTATGCCCTGTTGAATTCAAAGCACATTTCACTGACAAACCAGGTGTGTGAGACCATGCTGGCTATTGTTTTCATTTATTTATGTATGCCTCTGCTACACAAAAGTACAGAAGTTGATCACTTCTGGTCCTGCCAAATTGCTGCTACTTCTTGCTGTATTGAAAACATTCTGTAACACTCTTGAGAGCCTGAGCCACATATTCATAAGGTAGGCATTGACATGAGCTGCTGTTTTCACACATTCTTCTATGTTTCTCAAGACATTCCATTTATTCAGTGAATTGCTGAAGAAATCCAACATGGACACTGCAATACTTTGTCCAATGTCTGGACAAGGAATTTAGCATCAATTTTTGTCTTCTTTTCTCATCAAATTAAAAATTACTTTCAGATTACTATTTTTTTTCCTAATTAGATTTCCCCAGATGTATTTTTCAACTTTGCTTCTTCCAAGTAAGCTGCCTATTTTCTCAAAATTATCTTACAGTTCCCCATATTTTGTCTGTTCCAACTCTACATCTTCTGGTTTCTTACAAAACTGCATACTGGGGAGCTAGTTCCATGGTCCCTGTTTCTAATAGAATATGCAAAGTAGGATTAGCCCCAGCTTTGAACCCTGCCGAGGGCAGCTCTGAGAACAGCAATTACAGACACAGGAATATTCTCCATGACTTGAATGTGGCTTCCTTCCAGTTTCTTTGAGTCCTGGCCTGCTTGCATTGCACTGGTACTTCTCAACAGACTCCTCTGAGACATGTCTGAAGAGCCAAGACTCTGTAGTTCTTGACTCATCCTTTTCTGTTTTCCCTCCTGCTGCCTTTTGTGTTGATGCCCTTGGAGTTTGTCTTATCAATATTTG